GCCTCTGCACCGGCAGTCGGACAAGCTCATCCTGCCCTGAGTGCGCCATCCACAGCCCCCTTATCTGCGACCGCCTCCCCCTGTGTCCGCGCCTTTGTATGAATTAGCTCTCTGGCATCCCAGCTCGCTCTTTCGGTGTGTGCAAGCGCCACGCCCGCGATAAAGACTGTTTGGTAAGTCCACCTCGGGCTACGGTCGCGCCAGCGCCTCCTGGATTAGGTGATACCATCAAGTACACAGACATCGTTTAGCGAGTGGTGTGTACGATAAGACGTGCAAGTATCTATCGTGAACCACTATGACGTGAAAACCACTCGGGCCAAACACGTTTACAACGTTGACACATGTCGTTTTATGTAAGCTCCGGTTGTCGACATATCGGCGGTACGGCATCGGGAGTGCTGGCAATGCCTTAGGAAATGCAGCTAATGCCGTTGAAATCTTGATTGCCAAACTGCGAAGATATCGTGGAAGTATCACACACCGAATGTTCCAACCCACGACAACTGGTTGCGAATTTGCAACCACGCATAATCATATCAAGACTTTCAATGCATCCAGAGCGCTTTGGGAAGCTCAGACATGAGGTGAGCCATAGCCCAAACAAGTACAGCATTGAGCAGCTCGACAAAACATTGAGCTTGCTTTGAGCATGACGTTATAGTCGATGGCATAATTTCCAGAACAGAGCGAATAAGATACTTATCGTGCGTATGCTTGCCTATGCATTCCCTCTCTGGCCCACCGAATCTGCATGATCCCAGACAACTCGATATGTCAGATGTTGCATGCAACAACTCTTCGCTTGTCTCCGCTGCCCGCATGCTCCGTGATCAAGCGAACCTGCCTCCACGATAGCTTCTGCATCGCTGCGAACCCGTAGTCGAGAATTGAGGTCACCAGTAAAAAACAACACCTCAACGGCACACTGTAAGCGCAGAGGGAAATTTGGACTACGTGCGCGTCGCGTGTGAATCCGGAGGCAGACGGACAGTTTTAGAGTCGGCATTACTTAGTGTGGAGACTTGGTCGTTATAGGTGCCTGCGTGCAACGAGTCCCGCATCGGACGACCCAAAGGTCAGTATACCAGTATGAACGGTAAACAACTTACATATGCTGCAAACCATTCAAAATACGTGTGCGCGAACGAACGTGTTCAAAGGAACCCGTTGCTTAAACATACGCGCCATTAATACAATGTACCTCAATAGAGAAAAGACTGCAAATACGACATACGGAACGCCGCATGTGAACAGTCATGCCGGCATGCCAGGCAAAGTTCCAGTAACCATGGCTGCACATACATGCCAGAACGTAGACAATCTTGGCACACCAAGGTGTGCACAAGAACGATCGCGCAAAACAAATCATTTGGCATCACCATGTTGCTTCATTCGCGCAGCCCCCCGCAAGCCTCCACCTGCGCAAAGTTGTCAGGAACACCAGTGCCCGCTCCGCCGTCGGCGGGAGCCCCCGTGGGACGAAGCGTGCTGAGCACATGGTGGAAGTCCTGGCAGCGCGCTTCGGAGGCGCTCTCGGACGATTGCCCGGCCGTGAAGTGAGCACCAACGAAACCCATTCTGCCAAGGCCAGGCATCCGCAGCGAAGCGCATGCTGCCCCCTTGTTCACGTTGAGCTTCCCTCCTGCCCCCATGCTGGAGCATCGGCAGCCGTCCACTTGCGCCACCTCTTGGAACAGGCGTGTCCGTCCGAAGAGGAAGAGTGCGAGACCAGCAATGCAGACCTCCGCAAGGACAGAAAAAGCTGTGGGATCGCCAGAGTGCAGGGCCAGAGCTTCTAACAGACACTGCTTCCAACCCTCCGCGGCGTCGTGCAGGTCCGAGGTCGACAGCAGGCCCAGTCCCGAGACACATTCCTGCAAGCACACGCAGACCAGGTGGTGGCGTGCGCTCTCCGGGCGCAGCAGCTCGGACGCCGCCTTGGAGGTGGGGTCGCCGCCGGCCACGTTGAAGGTCACCACCAGCGCCCTGCAGACGCCGTCCGCCGCCTCTCGGAGCAGGGCGAACTGAGCCAGCGACAGCTCAGAAAAGGTCCCCAGACCCCTCCCCAGGCCCCAGCGCACCAGCCGTCCGAGCTGCGTGTGCAGCCGTGGCGACGAGGTGCCCCCCCCGCCCCAAAGGCCAACTGCCATGGTCTCAATTCGCCCTCCCCTGGGATCCGACGTTGCCAAATAATTGCAATATTGCAAAAAGTCGCGCCCGGAGCCCCGGACCCCATCGATCTGCGTCATTTTTCGAGCCGGATCGATCTGCGAGGGCCCCGGGGCCCGACGTTGAGCGAGAACGCCCGTTGTGAAAAAATCGCGGCGCCAGGATCTCAGGGGCTCCTCCGGGCCTCGCGCTGGCCAGGGGCCCCCGACGGCTGCGCTGGCTGCTCCCCCGCGTCGGCCCAGCCCCGCGGCGCTGGCCGCTCCCCGCCCGCGCCCGCTGGGCCCCAGCCCCTGGCCGGCGCCCGCTGGCCCACCGCGGCGGCGCCGCCGCCCGGGGCCTGCGCGCCTCGTGCCGGGGCGCCCGCGGCGCCCGGGCCCGCCAGCAGCTGCCGCCGCGCTGCCCCGGCGCAGCCGGCGGGTGCCCCTTGGCCAGCGGCGGCGGCGGCGCCGCCTCGGGCTTCATCCCCAGACCCCCTCGCGTCGTGAAAGTGCCGTGGCGGGAAATTTTTCGCTATCTTCGGCCTCTGGGGGCCCTTCCCGGGCTCGGGACCGTCATGAAATGACTCAGGACGAAAAACCGGTCCCGGGGAAGGGGTCCAGACCTCTGGGGGTCGACGTTGTGAACAAAATCACGACGTCGGAGGTCTGGGTCTCGTCCTCGTCGCCGCCGCCTCCAGGCCTCACCCGCCGCCGCCACCTGCTCTTCTCTGCGGTGTTCCTTGCTGGGCTCTGTCCCGCCTCCTGGAGGGCACCTGGCCTCCTCCGCCTCCTCCTCATCGTCCACCTCCTCGCCGTCATTCTCGCCCTCCATCGCCCCTCCCCCTGGCGCGCGCCCCCTATGGCTGAAGGTGGGAGTGCTGGTCGACCGCTGCGGACGGGGCTGTCACCAAGAGCGAGCCTGGCGAGAGCCAGATCCTATAGGATTTCTTCTCCAGCGGCGCGGCGGCGGCACCGTCGCGAGCACCGAGGCGGGGCCCGCTCCGTCGAATGCCAACCGCCGTTGCAGGTGGGTGGACCGCGCGAGGCCACCCGCGTTCGGATCGAGGGCGCAGAAACGTGAGAACTTTTGCGCGTGGACGCCAGGCCCACCAGCACCCGAAGCCATCATTCCTCGGAGAGGCCAGGGCGAGCGGTGCCAATTACGCCCGTGCATGTCCCAACTGGCAGAGGTAGGTTTGCGAACCGGCCACGCGCAGGAGGGACCCTGGGCAAGAGTGGCCTCGGGGGCGCGGCTTTCTTCGAGGGCCGCGGGGGTCTAAATCGCCGAAGCGCGCAAACCACCTGCTCTGGTCGGGGCCCAGTGGGCCCGCACCACAGGCCACTCCGGCGAAGGGTCACTCGTACGCGCAGCCAGTCGATGCGGGGCCCCTGGAAGCCCCGACCCCTTCCCTGGGGCTAGTTTCATTCCGAATACTCGTTGGTATTTCTCGGGCCCAGAAGAAAACTTCTGGAAGTCGACAACAGGAGGCATCCTGTGGTACTCCTACGTCGGTGCGAACACATGCGAATTTTTCGACGCGCAATTTCCCACATGGGCAGACACTTTCTGGCGATTTCCTTTCCTACGTGTCTACTCATGACGGAGTCTGAGAGACTGGGCCAGGGCACTCTTCGTCCAAGGAAGCCCAGGGGCCAACAGCTCCCATATCCAACTCTTACTATTATTGCAGTTCTCATCTTGCCATGGCTTCAGCTGCGATTGCGGCGCCTTCCAGCTTCAGGACCCCACCTCGTTCGCAGACGAGGCCTCCCGGAGACGCCTCTGCGAGGGGAGCGAGACGTCCGGCAGCGTCTCCACAGCCCCCTGCAGGAGATGGACGGGCTCGACCTTTCACCGCCCCGCCTGGAGGTGCATGCCATGGCGCCGCCAATCACTTCCAACGAGGCTCCCAGTACCATCACCGTCGAAGCGATCACAGACGCCGTGGGGAGCATGCTTGAGATCAAGTTCAAGGAGAGGCTCGACCCCATGACGAAGTCAGTCGAGTGGATCACCAAGCGGATGGACACGGTGGAACTGAACGTGAAGAACACGATGGACGAGATGAGGCTTCGCATGGACACGTTCGAACGGTCCGGTGGTCCACAGGACATCACGGGGGAGACCGATTCCCAAATTCGCCGATTGAGCGAAGCAATCGACCAGATGAAGATGTATTTCGATGACGCTGGCACTGCTCCGCCATCGTGGAAAGGTCACTGTAGTGGCCAATGGTGTCGCCGACATGGAGGAAAAGGATACGAAGGACTGTATTCAAAAGAAATTGTGGGAGTTTTGGGTAATCACCTGCGCCGACAAATGTGTGTTCCAAGAAAAATTCACCAACATCCTCTTCCACAACTTCCGTGGGGAGTATGAGAAAGAACAGGCGATTACGGCAATCAAGTATAATGCATTGAAGCGCGGGGACAACAAACATATGCTTTCAGACACGCCTCCTGGAGACCGGATCCCACCGTCATTTTTGTTTGCTCTTAAACGCTTGTTGGTAGACTGGAACTATAATCGAAAATGCGTGCGGTAGGCCCTTCCGAGCGAATCTTTGTACGTCGGCGGAGAGAGAGCTATTAGCCCTGGAGTGGAGGGAATGGATCTCATCACGGATTCTGGGGAAGGTTGGGGTGCCTTGCTTCGATGCGAGGAACTCGAGGACATGGTGATCACGTATAGGACATGGCCCACACTAACTTGCAGAATGGATGGTCGAATTCGCGACCCTGGATTGGGATATTATCCAGTACAGTGAAACTCGCGCGGAGAGCCAGACTATGGGCATGGATGGAGGACATCGGTTATATCTTCACCATGAAAAGTATTTTGCATCAGGTGTTGGCGTGTCGGATCATGCATGTTTGGTGGACAACATCATTTCGACACATTTTGTTTTAGATCGAATATTGCGTATTGATTCAATTAGCGCTCATCGGAAGATTTCGTTCTTTGCTGCATATTTACCTCATGCGGGTTATCCGGCGGCTCCTCTGTACCGAGTATACGAACAAGTGCACCAAACATGGATACAAGCAGTTCGCGAAGCATACGCTGTCGTGGTAGGAGACGATTTCAACTCACAATGGGGCATTGGAGATCGTGGCCACAAGATGGCTGAGATGGCGTCCGCATTCAACTTGCCGATTGTCAATGGTGATGGGAGTGGCTGGGACGAGCATAAGTTGGACTTTCAGGAGCAGTATGGACCCGCTGAGAATAGCGGATTACATGTTTGTGCCTTCGTACATACCGGCAATGGCCTGGGAGATGTCGCCGTCTTCGGATATGGGGCCGGACCTTCGTGCTCTCGATGTGTGGAGTTTGATGGTGAGAGGGCCCAGCGCCGACGCACGAGGAGACGAAGATCCTCGATGCGAGGTTGGAGTCCACGTGACATCGATGCTTCTTTCCAGGAGGCTTCCGACGTGAAGCTCAACCAGCGCGCACCGACGTCACTCTTCGAGGCGGAGGCCACATCATTCGATACTGCGGCAGCTCATGGGGACAGATCCTGCAGCAACCGACGGCGCTTCAACGACCATCCGTGGGACTCACGCCTTCTCCAAAATCTCTTGCAATAGAGGCGTGAGGGACGGGATCCCCAGTTGCGGAGGGAGCTTTCAAAAAACATCTCAAGGCATATCCGTAGGGAGCCCAGAAAGCAAAAAAAGCCAGCGATTCCGAGCCATCCTGGACGAGGTCCTTGAACTTGACCGGATCAACGACGCAAAAAACAACCGGCATGCTCGTTCACACTTTGGTCTGGAGCGCATGCCGCATGCCGGGCCAGAGAATTTTGCCAACTACTTGGAGGGGATCTTCAAAACCGACACCGCTGGATCAGTATCTGGGTATCTACAGTCTGTATTGGATAGCAACAATCCGCAGACCAAGTGGGTTTCCAGGAGGAGCGTTCTGTGGACGACGCCTTTATTGCGTTCGAAGCTGTATGTGGCAAGTGTTTGGAATGGAATGTGCCGCTTTGGTGCTTGAGTCTGGACCTGAGCAAGGCGTTCGATTTCAATTCCAGCGGTTGTTTGAGTCGCTGCGGAACTAACGCGTGGGCGATGAGTACATTGCCATGTTGATCGTCATCTGTGCGCGCCAGAGCGGTCGAGTCTGTGGCTCTCGCGGCTTTGATAGTCAGAGAGGCGTCAAACAGGGGGACGTCCTGAGTCCACTGATCTTCAGTGCGGGCGTCGAAACAGCGCTGTGTCCGTGGAGGCCCAGGGTGAGAAGGAAAGGCGTTTGCGTTGATGATGAAGACCCCTTGACAAACATCATATACGCGGACGACATCAGGAGTTTCGCCATCCCCCGCAGGGATCTCATTATCATGGCCACAGCGCTCGAAGAGGAGCTTGCGAAAGTAGGTCTCAGCCTGAACGCCGGAAAGACCCAGGTGCCTACGACGGATGACGACAACGTGGCTTCACTTGACCTCGGAGGAGAGCCCGTGGACGTCCCCAACGGCAACGCAGCCCAAAAGCACGCGGGGAAAAGTTATGTGGAAATCTGCGTGCCAGGAGCTCTCACGACGTGGGCAACCAGATCCAGATTGCGTGGATGAGGTTCCACCAACGTCGTGATGTCTTGACTAGTAAAGAGCTGATCACATACTCCCGGATGAAGTTTTTCAGCGCCGTGATCACGCCGACGGTTTTGTTTGGTTTTTCGTCGTGCGCTATGACACGGGCGCGGCTGAATTCACGGGACGCACTGCAGCGGCGAATACTTCGGAACATCGTTGGTTGGACCCGTCTCGCGGCCGAGCGCTGGGAGGACACGATGCGAAGGATGCGATTGAAACTCGAGACTGCTTTTGCGAAATTCCCAATGGACGCCTGGAGGGTCCAGATGCTACGCCGGCAGTTCAGATTGGCTCATCGATTTAGCAATATGAGTGGCAACTGGCCTGCAATATTATGTCGTTGGCACCCACCGACAACTTTTCCTGGTGCTGGACGTGGGCGTGGACGACCCGCTATGAGATGGGACGATTATTCGCGCAGATTTTCCCACGACTTCTATGGGTCCGACTGGCCAGAGGCGTCATTGTACAGTGATTTTCTTCAGCACGAAAACGATTTCTTGCGTTTTTCACTCGAGCACAAATGTGATGTTCGAGGTCTACCGCAGTCGCGCCCGACTCCGGGCCGAGCATTGACTCGATCAGACTGCCTGCCTGCCTGAGAGACTGGGTACGCGTGGGCATCACAGTGAGCGCGCGTGGGTACGAGTGGGTCTTCCATGGCGGCGGCCCCTTGGAATGCCCAAGTGTCACCAATGCCTGCTGCATCGTAGAGCGTATGAAGATCTGAACAGAGGTCCGTCTTC